TAGCACTTGCATAGCATGTGCAAGAACCCATATTCAATCCCCAGTACCTTAAAAGAAAAGGACACCAAGACTCATAGCTACCACCAGAAACTAGGACAAGGCAAGGATGGATTCACCTACAGGTTTCAGAGGGAGCGGAGTGCTACTGATGGCTTAATTTCAGACTTCTAGCCTCCAGAGCTGTGAAACAATACATTCCTGGGGGGGGGTTTTCTTTCTCTTTAATCTATTTGTTTTCATTTATTTATTTATTTATTGCCTTATTTATTTACTTATTTTGTGGTACCGGGGATTGAACTCAGGGGCATTCTACCACTACATCCCCTTTTCATTTTTTTGTTTTGAGACAAGGTCTTATTAAATTGCTGAGGCCAGTCTTGAACTTGTGATCCTCCTTTCTCAGCCTCCCAAATCAATGGAATTACAGGGGTGTGCCACTGTGCCTGGCTCAATCCTGTTGTTTTTAGCCACCCAATTTATGGTACTTTGTTATAGCAGCTAGGAAACTAACCCAACTACCTTTTGAAATATAGGTGTATTTTACATATTTATAAGTTATGTATATATGTACTACTATACTAATATGTTTTTAAAATAAAAATAGAATTTAAAAACAGTATTTTCAAATTATTTTTACTTCATTAATGGTATAAAAAAATCTTTCAATGACTAGTGTTTCTTAAGTAGGCTTCATATTATAGTTTGAAATCCTTGGTTAAATATCATGACACAGAAATACAAAGATGTAATTCTAAATTCAATTATTTTCTATAGAAATGACTATCATGGCCAAATTTAAAATTAAAAATGATATGTAGTTTCAAATAGAATTATATCACTGACTGTGCTTACTCCAATTTATGCAAAAATTTTGTTGCAATTTGGCTAATTCTCACTTTCCCCAATATCAGTCATTTGTTATTGCAAAATAATCAAAGTGCTACATTAAAATTTAAAGCTCACCAAACTCTTCACTGAGAAATTTTAAAACCAATTAAAGAATTGTTTCCCTGCCTTCTTAGGGTGAATTTATGAGATGTTGCATCATTTTCAGCAGCAAAATCACATAATAACAAAACAATTTCCAACTTTCAAAATGCCTTTTGCATAGCATGAGTATTTTTAGAAAAGTAGTTATTTTCTCACCCCTTTGAGGGGAAAAATGTAATCATGTCCTCAAAGGGACATATTGCATATTTGTTTTCCTAACATCTGTTAAGTAGCATGCTACTAAAAAATAAAAATAAAAAAAAATTTTATTATCACAGAAAAAGTCAGCAAATTGGACATCCATCTTTTTTGTAAAAGAAAAACAAATAAACTAATCTAAGTAATTTACCATTAAATAATCAATGAATCTCTGGGAAATAATAAAAGATCCTTTCAACAACTCCTTACACAGGATGTCCTTTACTCCTTAGGAAGATTACCCTACTTATTTAACCAGGCCCACACAGACTGCAATAAATCCTGCAACATGAAGGACAGCAAGTCAGGTACAGCTTTCTGTCACTGTGTGCTGTGGAACTCCCACCTTACACCCAGGAAACTGCATGTCCTCTTACAACACATAAAGACAGTGGGGCCCATCTCAACCTGTGCAGTACATACTAGCTATACTCAATTTCTTGCTCATTTTTTAGAAATAAATATATTGGTAACCCAATGCCTGCACATGCCTGTGATCCCAGTACTCAAGAGGCTGGGATGGAGTCCAGGAGTTTGAGGCCACCTGGGCAACCAAACGAGACACTTGTAAGAAAAAGAAAGAAAGAAATTCATTGGTAAAGGGCATCTATAGAAAGCCTGCAGCTAACAGCTAACTTTCTACTTAGTAGTAAAAGACTCATTGCTTTCTGTAGATGAGCAAGAACAAGTCAAGGATATCTGTTCTCCCCACTCTCACTGAACATAGTGGTGGAGGTGCTGGCTACCATACAAGGCATAAAAAGACAAGCCATGCTGGGGCTGGGGCTGGGGCTGGAGCTCAGTGATAGAGCACTGTCTACCACATGTGAGGCCCTGGGTTTGATCCTCAGCACCACATAAAAATAAAGGCATTGTGTTGTGTCTATCTACACCTAAAAAATAAATATTAAAAAAAAAGCCATGCAGATTGAAAAGCAAAGAATAAAACTGTCACTATTCATGATGAGTCACAGACATGGAAAATCCCAAGGAATCTAAAAAAAAAAAGAAAAAAAAACTAAAATCTAGAACTAATAAGAAAGTCACAGATATAAGATAAGCATATAAAAAATAGTTGTATTGCTCTATGCCAGCAATGAACACACAGACACTGATTAAAAACATAGTAGCATCCAGGAGATCTAAATAAGAGACATGCTGTGCTCATGGATTGAAAGACAACACAGTAAAGATTTTGGTTCTCCCCCAAATTAATGTACAGGTTTAATGAGCTCCTATCAAAATCCCAGAAAGAATTTTCAAAGTTATACACAGGATTGTTGTAAAAATTATATGGAAAGATAAAGGAACTACAACAGCAAAAATATTTTTTAAATGAAAACTAAAATAGGAATCATTCTTATTGAATTCAAGAGTTATTCTATAGCTATAGTAACCAATGCTATATAGTATCAGTTGAGAGACACACAGATCAATGGAATAAAAAGAAGCCAGAGTAGCCCCTATACAACTACAGGCAAATGATTTTTGACAAAAGTGCAGAAGCAGTTCAGTAAAGGAAGAACAGTTCTTTTAACAAATTGTTCTGGCATAGTTGGATATTCATAGGTCAAAGAAATAAACACAACCTCAATCGGAACCTTATACATCATAGAAAAATTAACCAAATCACAACTGATCACATATTTAAATGTAAGGCAAAAAACTATAACTTTTAAGAAGAAAATGTAGGGAAAAAATCTTCAGAACTAGGACTCAGTAAATTGAGTGTTTAAGGCGAACCCCAAGAACTTAATTCGTAAAAAGAAAACTGGAAAAAACTTGATTGGGCCAGGGATGTAGCTCAGTGGTAGAGTGCTTACCCCGAAAGTGTGAGGCCCTGCATTCAATCCCTAGTGCTGGCAGAGGGAGGGAGGACAACCTTGATTGACTTCATCAAAAATTTAAAAATTCATGCTGTGTGAGAGACCATGTTAAGATAATGGAAGTCAAGCTATAGATTGGGAGAAAATACTTATAAACTATATTTTTAAAGAAAAACTAGTATCCAGAATATAGAAATTCAATAGTTAAAAAATTTCAATTAGAAAATGGGCAAAAAATATTAACAGACATGTCACTGAAGGTGATGGACAGATGGCAAATAAACACATAAGAAGATGTTCAGCATCATTAGCCATTAGATAAATTAGGACCACGATAAGATATCATTGCCCTCTTCTCAGAAAAAGTAAAAAAAAAAATAATAATAATAACAATAACAACAAATCTTAATGCTATTGAGAATATGGAGAAATGGAATCACTTGTCCTTTACTAGGAGGAATATAAAAAGGTAGATATTCTGGAAAACTTTCTGGAATTTTTGTTTAAAAATAAAACATGCTACCATCATATGTATGATCCAGCAGGTGTGCTCTTTGACATTTATTGTAGTCTAATGAAATCTTATGTTCACAAAACCCTGAATTTAAGATTCATAAGAATATGTACATAAATGTTTGTAGCAGCATTATTCACAAATAGCCCAAAACTCTAAACAACCCAGATGCCCTTCAGTGAGCAAATCATTCAACAAGTAGTTGTACATCCATACTATGGAGTCCTATTCAGCAATATAAAGGAATTAATTATCGATACATGAAACAACCTAAAGGAATACAATCCTAGAGGAAAGCCAATCCCAAACTAGATTATTTCATTTAATAATGACAAAATTATGGAAATGGAGAACAGATTAGTGACTGCCCATGATATAGGAGTGTGGTAGGCTGACAGGGATGAACCCAGAGCTATAAAAGGCATGATGATGAATCATTGGGGTGCTGGGATTGTTTTGGAACTTGACTAAACCCATATGAGTGTCCTGGTCATGATACTGTACTAAGGTTTTGCAAGATGTTACCATTAAATTTCGACAGATTTTTAAACAGTCTATCTTGCAACCTTCGTTAAAGGGTACATGGGATCATTAGGCAATATTTCTTAACCTCTGCTGGTATGTCTACAATTATCTAAAATTAAATTTTTAATATTTCAAAATGTTTATATAAATGAACTGACAGGAGTTCTAATATATTCTTCTCACACCATAATTAATCAACTTAGGCACAATTTTAGAAATTACTGCCATATTCTACTAGTTCCTCCTCAGTCTTTGTGTCCCTTTGTGTGTGTGATGATGTGTGGGGATCAAACCCATGATCTTGCACATGTTAGGCACACACTGTACCACTGAGCTACATCCCTAGCCCAACATTATCTTTCCAAAATGCAAACCTAATCATATTACTTCTAAAAATCATTAGCCTGACACTTAAGAGTCTTCATGACCTGGCTTTAGGCCTTTACCCAATATAAGCATCCTATACACCAAAATGCTTGCAGTTTCCAACTATGTGAGATTCCTGAATAAAGGCACCAGGACTTCTTTTTCATGTGTTCATATTATCTCTAATATCTCATCTCCAATTAAATTATCTCTAATGCTTAGTGTGTCCCTAACATATATTAGGAGCACAATAAACTTTGACTTAAATAAAAACTATAGCCATGCATGGTGGTACACATCTATGCTCCCAGCCTCTCAGGAGGTTAAGGCAGGAGGATCACAAGTTTAAGTCTAGCTGGGCAACTTCCAGACCCTTTCTCAAAATGAAATTTATGAAAAGGCTGGGAATGTAGCTCAGTGGTAAAACTACATGAGCAAGGCCCTGGGTTCAATCCCTAGTACTACAAAACAAGAAAAGTAAGGCATAAAAGAAAAAGGAAATCCACTATAAATATCTATTATTTTTTCTTTTAATCCTAAGAACCCAGAATTGTTGATTCTGCTACTTTCAGAACACCGACCTGCAATCACTCCTGCCAGGTATACCAGCCCCACTCGGAGGCCTTTGTGGACCATTTCCAAGGGAATTCCCAAAACCAGCTGCATAAGAAGATTCCCCACAATGTGCTGAACTCTGCAAAGACAAACACAGTTGTCAAATATTAAAGCAGTTATTTCTTTAGTAGGCTCTGAGATGTTGTTTCTAGTTAAGGACTTGGACTTCTAGAATTCCGTTTTCTAATTTTTTTAGCAGGCAAGTTTTTTTTTTTTAATAAAATCTTGCAAGGCACTTCAATATGTAAAACAGATACAACAACATTTTAAAAGTATAAATGTATTCTATAAGTCCATTTTATAACAATTATAACAGGAAACATCAGAGAGGCAGGCTTAAGGAACATAAACTTGAAAATAGGGGTTTGGATGACAACTACAATCATGGCAGTCTCAACATCTGATTTTGTTTCCATTGTAGTTTTAAAAAAAATCCTGACTCACTCACACTGAATTTAAATTTCGACAGATTTTTAAACAGTCTATCTTGCAACCTCGGGATATTTAATAAAACAGAAAAAGCAAGAGAAATTTCACTGCTGTTTCTACATTTAAAAAGTACCTTTGAGACTTGCTAAAGTAATTCCCACATACTACAACTTGGCATATAACACATTTGAATGTG